TGCTTGGCCTTCCTCTGGGGTGTCACTCTCGCTTCCGGAGTCGCCACCCTGAGTCAAACCCTCGATATTGAGCGCACTGGCCACCTCGTGGCTTTCCCCATGATCCTTCGGCGGTGGGGCCACTCCCTTCAATGCCCCATTGAGTGTAAATGAGAGTAATGACATAGCGTCCTCGTCCATACTGAACTCCTCCATATTCTCCACCTCTTCCCTGGTGATGTTATATCCCTGGCTCCTAATTGACATGAGCCTATCTACCTGGTCTCTGGAGAGCCCAATATGTTTTAACTCTGTGGGGTTCACAAAGTTCACGTGTACCACTTTAGTACCATGATGAAAAGTCAACGCACAGAACGGTCCCCTCACCGTGAAGTGTCTCAGGTACAACATGTCGCTATTCTCCCCTCTAGTAGAGATCGGGGATAGCAGAGTCCAAATCCCTCCCGAGGAGCGGTCAGAATGATAGGCAAATGTCACTATCCCACAGAGTAGTGGTTGAGATTATGAATCAATGTCACTATCCCACCGAGTAGCGGTTGGGCTTATGGATAAATGTCACTATCCCACAGAGTAGCGGTTGGGCTTATGGATAAATGTCACTAGCCCACCGAGTAGCGGTTGAGATTATGAATCAATGTCACTATCCCACCGAGTAGCGGTTGAGATTATGAATCAATGTCACTATTCCACCAAGTAGCGGTTGAGATTATGAATCAATGTCACTATCCCACCGAGTAGCGGTTGAGCTTATGGATCAATGTCACTATCCCACCGAGTAGCGGTTGGGCTTATGGATAAATGTCACTATCCCACCGAGTAGCGGTTGAGATTATGAATCAATGTCACTATCCCACCGAGTAGCGGTTGAGATTATGAATCAATGTCACTATCCCACCGAGTAGCGGTCGAGATTATGAATCAATGTCACTATCCCACCGAGTAGCGGTTGGGCTTATGGATAAATATCATTATCCCACCGAGTAGCGGTTGGAATTATGAATCAATGTCACTCTCCCACCGAGTCGCGGTTGGAATTATGGATAAATATCACTATCCCACCGTACAAGTACTGGTGGAGGGTGTGTTGAACCATTTACCCCCAATTACAGTGATACCCTTTTTTAGCAGCAACAAATGCGTTATATACTATATATGTTCAGTTCCATAAATGCATGCCTACTGACAAAGTTCACCGACATCTATCCCACTCGGAAGTTATAAGTTCCACATCACTTACCGTGACTTTTCTCCCAAGAAATATTCCATGAATAGTCCTCCATAGAAATACACAAACCATGAATCATCTCACACACGAATATATCCACGAATAAACACAGCCCGCGGCAAAACACCATCCCTCGTGCAACAAGTTCACTGCGAATTGTCCAAAGTCAAATGTCAACACAGCCTCCGCAAGTAAACACTGAATTTCCCCCCGGTCATGCGCTGTGGGAACCCTCAGGCGGCTCAGAGCGTAACATCAGAAATACACGAAAACACACTAAATCCCTCAAATTACTCTACCTAGCACCGAAAGACCCCTAAATAAGTTCTAACTAGTCTATGCAATCTCGCTCGCACTGCAACCCCACCACAGTGCCGAGCTGAGAAAGCTGGGTGACCAGTAAGTCCCCCACCAGCCCGCGTGCTCCCCCACGCGGGTAACCTAATTACCCTAAAAAGCTCCACTAAAGCTACTTTTAGGACGGTAACTAGTCCTCCCCTCTCCGATATAGGTACGGAGATACTAGAAAACCCTTATAACTGTACTATAACCCACTGAAATTCTGTTACACCCCATTTGGGTGGAAGACCATGCGGTCTCCCAAGCGCGGGAAAACAGAAAAGTGGCGAGCGATGCCCCGAGCGAGAAAATGGGATTCCTCGCTCAGAATCGTTGTTCACAGCGCCACTGTAGTGATCACCGTGTACACTACGTTATTAGATCACCGTGGAGTAAGCTGTAGCTCGCACCTTGTAAGTATTAACGCCCAAATCTACGGTTTTAGGTAGACCCCTGAAACAGGCAAAGCATACTCACAAGATGGCTTCCACGAACTCGCTGTGGCGATCGGCTGTCTCCGGCACTTTCCGTCGGGTCCCCCAACTTCCGGTTGACAGCTCCGATCACCACACTCTTTTTTAATTATTCATTAATCTTGTTTTCTTATTGAAAAATTTTCATACCCTAATTTCCCAAATCAGATTTGGTTTGGTCAGGTTCATTAGGGCGACCTACAGTTTCATTCAGGCTGGGTGTTGACTGTACCGTGAAATCTGAACAAATTGAAACTGGAATTAGGAGATAAACCTACTGTGTTTTGACATCAGAGGTAGTATAACGGAATTGTGATAGCTCTGAATTTAATTTCTCCTCCGTTACCAAGTCAGGATCAGTGGTGATATCGTCAACGAAATCTGATAATAAATAAAATTTAATATGAAAAATTATGTATACTGGATCCGTTTTGGCATAACACTGAATGTACGTAATGACAGTTTTGCTTGTGTTTTTATTCTTCGAAAAGCAGACGATATCTTGGCGTTATTCGACTGAGTATTGTTTTCTATACTTGTGAACTAATTTGTGTATATAATCACCTGTTTCTGTGATTTGCGCCAGTCAGAAGTTCATCATCGCTAAATCCATCATCGAGTAGAGATGCAAAATTTCCAACTGCAAAATCGCCGTAATCCATCAATGTATCGGTTGCTTGGTTTACGTCGGCCATGTTGGTGGTCAAACGAAAATAGTGCATTACCGTAAACAATGTATAATTGCGCATGGAAAAGAGAGACCTGTATATCGTGATTATATACCTCTGAATGACTATAATTAACCAATCACAATCCAGTGTTTACTGAAGTCATGGTAGAATTGTTTTTACATTTTGCGTTAGGTGTTTACATATAGGGAAGACCACAGTGACGTCAGTGTTTTGATCACGTGACGCACCCGAGTACTTCCGGTAGGCAGAAGGTAAACATAAACATGAGAGAACCACACAAACTGCACTCATTTGATCGTCGACTTTCGTAACAACTCTTCCTGGTCTGTATTTTTGGCTTGACACTCAGTGCATCTTCAATCACCAGAATTGTCCTTGTGACGATAGACACATAACAATATTATGTTATTGTTATGACATACTGACATTTTATAATATATCCCCGTGTTAGAACATTATTCGAAAATCATCGCCCGCGATAACCATTACGACTTCGAATTTGTAAAAATAAAGATCTACGCACTGGCGGCAATATTGAGGGGACAAAATGTACAACGCAAGCAAAAAAATGCCAACTTGAAAACAGCAAACAATAACAAATTGAAGGTGACTGAAAACTTAATTCTATTATATATTTGGATTTTACGGGAATTTGAATCAACTTAGAAAATGTATCAATGGTCGTTTTCCAACTCGTGCCTATTTTACCTCCATGAGTGCCATGCTCTACGTGCTTTCCTGCAAGTTTGGGCACGCCCTTACGCGTCACCAACGGCTGTCAACAATGTGTGGGAAGTGTGGGAAGGTTTATCCAATAAAATCATTATAAACTGGATAAACATGATAATTTTGTTATAAAGACAATACCATTTACCTAATCAGACCATGTAATTAATTCCAACGAAAACAGTTGGATCTATCAAAAGGATGGCACCTTTTTTCGGTATCACGATGCATGTGGAGTTGTTTGTTTACCACCGTTGCCATGATCGTTCCTATTTGTCCAATCAGTGACGTAACATTGAGATTGTTTTTGTTTATAAATAATTACACCGAAAGTTACTAATTTTTAGGAAATGGGAAACTTCAGTGTTTTCTCTTGACCAAAGAACAAAAATGCTGATCAAATTATTAAAAAAAATATTTCATTATGAAGAAAATATTAGACAGGGTACCACTCGACGTGATGTGCCTGAAGTAAAAAAATATTGTCTTGATTTTACATATTGGGGTTGTACGCATGTGTCTAATCATAGATGACCTACGACATCTCCATATCATTGCATATCAATGATACGAGAGCTCATTGAGTGCATCTGACTGTGTACACAGATGGTTCCATGAACGAAGGGGGCGGGGCGGGGGGGAGGGGGGGAGAGAAACCATGTGATTTAAATTCATGAGTGATTTAAATTTAAAGTCACATTGGTAGTATTTCAGCCAGTAAAATAGGTAAATTATCACAGATGTAAACATACAACTAGCATGTAATCATAAAACAATTTATCATCCAAAACTTTCTTCCACGGGAGATATCGCTTGTGTGAGATCAGACGATATCTCCTAGGAGATATCGTTTTCACAGTAGATTTTGCACAATGCCCTGACAATGCTATGACGTCACGAACTTGATGACGTCACAATGCTATGACATCGCTGCACTGCAAATCTAATGGCAGTTCTGTGTTCTGAGATGTACATTTTTCATAGAAAACTAATGAAGAGTGATTTTTGATGATAAATAGAATCTCACCCGGCAAGCCTCGGATATTTGTTACTTTATCAACTCGTGGTGATATATTTGATATCAAAAGACACTCGGGTGAGATTCTCTATGTATCTACAGAACCAAACAATATAAAAATGCGCTCAAAATGTTTATCGACATTGTAAACAAAAAATTAAACCAAAAAGTCTACCCGCGTTTAACTGTTTGCACTCAATGACAGCAATGATGTGTCATCAGCCGGTCGTTTCGGCTGGTTCCCATAGTAACATCTGGAACTGCTCGTTTGTGAGGTCATTCTGACTTTACTTCACAATATGATTAGAATGACGCCACCACTGCTGACGACTTATAACTGCGATAATTGTACGTATCAAGTTTATCAACACGCAGCGAATAGACTTGTAATTTCCGGGATTTAAATACCATTCGATCATGTTTTTCACCAATCCGATTAAAGAACACAGTGACTTTTGGTTTACAATTTTATTTAAACACTAGTTTAGTTTATGACAGTGCCATAAAGGTTGTCCTTTCTTTTACAGGTTGAAACCTGACGAACCATTTAAATATTTGTAGACCACGGTACAACTGTGTCAAGGGTTTCCGGAGAGTAGAAATGTCTGAAGTAGGACGTGGAATGGAAGTAGTCTATCAGAGGGAGCAGGTGGACATGGGGGGGAGTGCTAGGAACATGGGAAATGGAGGACACAACCAGCGCTCAGATTTACAGATGTTTGGTCAAGCCAAGAAGAAGATTGATGACATCTTCAAAGATATTGGACAATTTGTTCAAGAGACAGACACGTTAGTTGATGGTGAGTGAGTAACAAACAATCTTTATGAAAATCAATACTCTAATGAAAATGATTTATTAAGTTTTAAAATATACATGTTATTCTTACTTATGTCAAGACCAGTATGTCTATGTAATATTGACGTCCAGGTCCATTTGACATTATTAAGGGTGAAACGATAACTGAAACTCGAAGGCTGGGCGTTACTAAGCTTTTGATGTGATCATGATGATACGCGAGAGGTGGACCTAATTAGTGTTTCAAAATACATTTTTCTAAAATATGTAATGAAAGAATTACCCTTAATCTAAATGATAAAAGATTTGTAGAACAAATCAGATGTTTGAAATGATGCTGTTATCTCTGTTCCATTTTGTGAATGACTGGGGATTTGAATACATGACACGTTTTATGGATAACAACTTCTTTTCTATTTTTATACGACGTTTCAGAGCCTTTGTGAATTAATCCAATCTAATTGGCTTCGTAATTATATTGTTATCTTTGTACATTCTCCCTTCTTGCATTGTGTTTCATGTTTCTATCTATATATATTGACTCTCTTACTGACTCGGCATTCATCTGATGAAGGAGCAAGAATTAGCTCTAAAACGTCGTGTAAAGAATAAAAAAGAAGTTGTTATCCATAAAACGTGTCATATATTCATGTTCATCCAACTTCCAAATGCCTTTCAAAAACCTGACTGGGCATTGTTTTGAGGGCTAAAATAGTCTTATCTGAAATGGCAGAGGTTTTTAATTGATTTGTCATTGGTCTTTTTAAAGTTTTGGAATAGAAGGACATGTTTCATGATGTATAATCTTCTGTATTGTCGCTTTCTTGTAGTAACTTAGTAACTGTGTTGCTTTCAATTGACAGTTACTGTACACCTTGTATGCCTAGTAGTGTAGTACACAGTCTATTAATTTTACATCTAATTTTGATCTACCTTCATCTACTTGACACTGGAAAATAGTTTACGTGAAGCATGGTTTAAATTTGATGTACTGGGAACATGACATCTTCAGAGATCGGAACCACTTTTCAAGAGATTCTGCCAGCAGATGTTAGTGCAAAGGTCAAGGGCTTTAAGAAGAAAGTTCAAGACATCCGAAAAGTCATTCAGAGGAAAGGCATGAAGGTTGTAGTTTTTGGAAGGTGAGTGTTGTTCCCTCTGAAGTACTGTGTATCCAATGAAGCACCTGTGTTAATAGTTTTAAAGTGATTTGTTGTGTCTCAGGGAAGTAGTTGTTTTCTACTCTTCTTTTAATAAATATAACAGTTAGGGGCTGATGTAGCCTAGTGGTTCAAGCCTTTGCTCGTCACGCTGAAGACCCAGGTTCGATTCCCCTGATGAGTACAATATGTGAAGCCCATTTCTGGCGTCCCCTGCCGTGATAGTGCTGTAATATTGCTAAAAGTGGCATAAACAAAACTCACTCACCCACTCATATAGCAGTTAAAACAAGACTGTGATTATTTTCTTGAGATAAGACGACATAAGGATTGAATTGAGTGAATATTGTTTATATTGTCGGTTATATTTGACAAACAACTACATTAAATCAATGTATAAATTGGGACAGATCAAAGGAGAAAACTCCTTAATTCAGAGTCAACATGGTTCATAATAATAATAATAGTCCATTTATATTGCGCGTTTATCCATGCACATTGCATGTTCAAAGCACTGACATATTACCCCTGGTCAACGAGTACAGAACACTCCCTGTGGAGAATACAACCGGTCGCCTGTCAGGCGCTCAAGGTTCAAATTCAGACTACCATCGTATCATACCAGGTATCCAATTGTACTGCTGTGTGGACAGAGGCAAGTTTGAACAAATTCACTTACCTAAGGTGAGACCACATGCGTCACATGTGTTTCGTTGTGGGGCAGGACTGAAGTCCTAGAAACTTTCAGGAGGCAAGCTGCCAAACACGGTCACCCATCCGAGGACTGTCCGCGACCAACGTTGCTTAACTTCAACTGATTGTGACCTGAGCTCTACGCACAGGACCACACACCGCCACCGGTGTGCTATCATGAGCCGTCACCGACTTTTGGTTTGTCTAGAAACAAACCCCAACTTTCATCTTTCAGTCATATTATTTTTATCATGTCGTGTGTATGGACTTATATTTCTGAGCTGATTTAGGGCTTCAGACCTCTCTCACTTACCCCGGCCACTTCATCAGTGGTGATGTTAAGCTAACATAGTGTAGTGGCTAAGGGTGAAAATAGATACTTGACGGACTAAAGCATGAAACTTTGCACAGTGCTGGGGATTATCATGATAAAACATATTTTTTGTAGGGGTGCCCGATTTTTTGGGCCTATTTACTAAATAATCCAAGATGGCCACGGAAAATCAAAGCGTGCTGAAGTCCACCGAGACTATAAAACCGACTATAAAACACATGAACCGACTATTAAAAAAATCTTCATTTGTTGCAATATGTGAGATATATTTCTAATACTTTCAAGAAATCTAACAAACAACATTTATGTTACATGTGTTATATTTGGGATTACACTTTCTTTGTAAAGTACAGATTCTAGTACTTTTTTTGGGTTGAGTCCCATCCGGGATTCGAACCCACACCCTCAGAGTCAGGCACCTAATCGCCAGCACACAAAGTCAGACGCCTAGACCGCTCAGCCACCGCGGCTTCCACAAAAATGGAAGTCGGACAACTGGTAGTCCAGATGACGGACTTTGTGTACCCCTCTGATAAGTGTTAATTGGCACGGCTCCCACGGCCGAAAGCTATGAAATACACAATGCCAGTTTAGAAAGTGGTCAAATGTAACATGTGTTATATTTGGGATTACACTTTCTTTGTAAAGTACAGATTCTAGTACTTTTTGGGAGTTGAGTCCCATCCGGGATTCGAACCTACACCCTCTGAGTCAGGCACCTAATCGCCAGCACACTAAGTCAGACGCCTAGACCGCTCAGCCACCGCGGCTTCCACAAAAATGGAAGTCGAACAACTGATAGTCCAGACTGCGGAATTTGTGTACCCCTCTGATAAGTGTTAATTGGCACGGCTCCCACGGCTGAAAGCTATGAAATACACAATGCCAGTTTAGAAAGTGGTCAAATGTAACATGTGTTATATTTGGGATTACACTTTCTTTGTAAAGTACATTTATGTTTAGTAGTAAAAGATATAATTTATCTTCAAAATAATGTAAACGCTACAGTGTTGATCAGTCACGTGACATCATGTTGTCAAACATCGATCTCTGTGCTTCTGAAGTCCCCCTTAACAGTTCCCATTGCAGTTACAGAGCGATGTGTAAAGAAGATGAAAAATATACAAATGCACTTCTTTGAACACAGAGGTTGAGACTTGCAGTCACCTTTGCTAAGTTCTCGAGAACTTCGTGAAGCTTCTGGCAGTGTAATCCACACCAGTTTCCGTCTGGAAAGTAGTTATGTTGAGTTGACTTAGGCTTTACGTCACATCGGCATTATTCCAGCCATATAGTTACGAGAATAAGTCTGAGTTAATAAACATTGTAAGTACGGAGTGAAAATGAATTTTATTTCAAAAACATATATTCATTACATTGTCGTTTAAAACAGAAAAGGTCATAGCACTAAATTTAAAGGCAGGCAATTTGTTAGTCATATTACACAGTTACAATTTATGATACAGATCAACTTCCCTCAGGTAGTTCACTATCAGATGAGCGCTCACGCGGGAGAACAGACCTATCAGATTTGTTGCATCATAATGTGAGTCCCTTGCAGACGATAAGTCCACGCAGTCAAGCAGAATATGCCTGATGGTGCCTCATTGCAAGAGGCACACATGGGGGGTCCATCCCCATCCGTTTTCAGCAGATAGTCATGAGTAAACCGACTGTGGCCAAAACGACATCGTCGTAAAATTATTCACTCAGTTGTCAAACATTTATGTAATTATGTACAGAAATAAAGAAGTTGTAACTATTTTATCAAGCACGATTGATCTTCTAGGTTAGCAAAATGTTGCATAGGGTAGCCATGTTTGCACGTGCACTATGGATTTAGCTGTAGTGGGATTGAATGGACTTTTAGTATGTTATGTAGGAAGGTTTGTGGAACACATCTGCCAAGTTTCATTTCTTCGTCATTTTTCCGACCTTTGTGCTTATTTGACTGGCCTACAATGGCTGGATACAATCCTACTCGTATCTTGATTATAATACAGGTTAGGAAATAACCTTCAATTGGTTTTCCGACAATCCTTGATTAATATACTTCAGGCTGATTAGGTTCACATGTTTGGATAAATAAAAGTACTTAAATGAAATGGTACTCTTTTGAATAACAATGACCCCTCGGAGGTTTCTAGAAGTGTTTGTTCCTTATAGTATATGAATACGACAACATGTATGTTTATTGTTATCACTCCAGTGTATTTTGAACCCATCCAGAAGTTTCACATTTTTTGCAGGGCATCTTCAAGAAAGACTTCGATAGTATGTGTAGAGCTTCGTATAACAACGAAGCAATAAGGGCCAATACTTGCTTGACAATGATACGAGAATGTGTATCGAAACGTCGCATCATCCAAATAAAGAAGTTGTTCATCCATAGAGTTTGTCCGTCTCTTTGTATAACAGTTAACCATCATTTTAGGATTTCATAATTTTGTTTAAATTAGAAACTTAACCATTTATATGTTAATGTGTTTACGGAGAGTAAGGATCATTATTTGAGGAAACTCATCAATAATGGAATTCTATTTGTGCGTAACAACATTACCAGATCAAACAGGTAATTTGTTAATGACCCGTCTGGAAAATAAATATAAATGATTAATTTTCGAATTTAAACAAAATTATGAAATCCTAAAATGATGGTTAACTGTTATACAAAGAGACGGACAAACTCTATGGATGAACAAGTCCCATAAAATCCCACTACAGCTAAATCCATAGTGCACGTTAAAACATGGCTACCCTATGCAACATTTTGCTAACCTAGAAGATCAATTGTGCTTGATAAAACAGTCACAACTTCTTTATTTCTGTACATAATTACATAAATGTTTGACAACTGAGTGAATATATCTCAAAATTATTGACTATTATTTCAGAGAGAAAACAAATTCACATTTCGGAGTTGTGGCCTTTTTTGTGCTAAAATTAGAATTTTTAGATGTTTTTAACCTTGGGTGACAAAAAGACCTATAAGAATAATGATAAGGTTTAGATTAATCCAAAAGACCTTGAAGTGTATTGTTCAATGTCTTTTTCACCGCAAACCACCAAATATAACTATATCATATTTTTACATTTTGACTGAAACTGAAAATTTGCAATTTGGTTGCATTTTATAAGTCAATGAAAACTCAATAAATGTCCCAACAATTGCAATAATTTGATTTTTTTACACCCAAAGATCAAGTAAGTGAAATTTTATATTTTCATAAAATCACATTTAAGTGATCACATATTTCCATGCTTTAAAAGAGTTATCGCCTTTGCTACTTACATTTCAAGAAAATATCATAACTCAACCTGACAGCACCTAAAACACCCCGATATTCTACAGAATACCAAGACTATCAAACACTATTTACAGATTATGTAACAGGGCATCTTTAAACACCTATGATTAAAAATCTAAAAAGTTAATTTTCTTTTCCTTGTCAGTCTGGAGGAAGGTGAAGTCTGTGGCTCATCTTCAACTTCACTCTCATCAGCGTCGTTGGAAGACAATTCCTCAGATGTTTCATCAGATGGTAGTTCATGATCTTCTTCATCCTCCTCTGCAAAGTATACTGTGTTAGAATTGCAGCAGCTACTGTGGCAATAGCCACATAGACGCGAACATTTCAATCCAGCCTTTCTGCACCCACACATACACTCACACCCTGCTTTACAATTGAATTTGATCATGTTGATTACTGTCTCTGGTGCAAATGCAACCATATCCTTTGTGGATAATTGATTATGGAACGCTTTGACAATTGTTTTGTGAACAATATGACAGCTTTTTTCTTTCCCTGTCTGTACAAGGCTGATGTAGTGTCACAACCAGTCATGGCATGGAGAAAGAGTAACCCAGAAATTAAGCTCTCTGGCAATTTTTGGCGTAACAACGAAATGTTGATCAACAGTCTTTCCGCTCCCAGTTTTAAGGAAGTACAATAAC